CCGGCCCAGTCAGGGGCCACATCTGAGCCTCGAAGTGGCCACAGACCCACTTCGGGTCTGCATTTCGCCCCAGGGGGTCTGGAGTTAGGGATGGAGACAGCCCAGCCCCCTATCCCCTCCCCCCATCCCCAGAAGACACCACCTGCACCCTCAGCCTGTTCATCTGCTGGTCTGTTCACAATCTGCTTAAAAAGAAGGCTCTGGGGTCTCCTTCTGAGCTCATTTTGCTTTCCTCATGAAGGTTCTAATTTTTCAACATAGTCTGCAAAACAGCAACAACAAAATCAACAACAAAGTCACTTCAAACATCTGGAGCCCCAAGGTCTTCTCCACCACAGCTGGATGCAGGGCCTGACCGGCTTCGGGCTGCACATGAGCATGTGCAAAGGGTCCCCAAAGAGAGCACAGGTTTAGACCTGCTTTTTAAGGACGAACTGCAGTGGCTTCGGTGCCAGTCCAGTCTTGACCATAACGCGTTACGTTCCGATTAGGCTCACACCTGATGTTGGTTCAGGCCACCGTCTTGAAACACGAGCGGCTTCCATCGCTTTCAGCACTGATTCTCTCTCCATTTTTTTCAAAAAGCCCTGGCCATTACACTCTAGGCCACAGACCATTAGATGCCTGTCACAGCCCATGTCCGAGTCTCTCCACGCAAAAGCTGGTTGACATTTAGCCAGGAACTTTTAAAACACTTGAGAATAAATTATGACCCAAACTTACTCTTCTTAATGACAAGTATAAAGTTCAGCTCTTTAATAAAGGGATTCAGGAATAAGAAAACAAAGCTTCTCAGCAATATGAAGGAAATAAAGGTCCTTCAGTATTAAGGGAATGAGGTCAGTTCTTGTTTTGATTAAATTGTGCGTTTTGAATATAGTTAGTATAAAGTGAAACTCTTAAAAAACATGTAGGAATTTAAAATAAAGTAGAACATCCTATTTTCAGGGTCATGGAACCACGGCGAGATTTGTCTCTTAAACAATGACACTTAGTATCTCTGTAGTTCCATGAATACTTTTGAAGTGTCATATTAAAACCAATCTCGTGGCCTTGAGGCAAAGAGAAGCAATTAGTCTTGGAGTTGTGAATAAATAAAAATCCATTTATACACCCGTCCTTGACATGTACCTTGCAAATCTTAGAAACTTCATCTAGTGGGAAAAGAAATGTTAAATCATGAATACCAATACTAATCACATTGCCATGTGGCTTCCTAAAACAGTTTAGTTTAGACCAATCTTTTAAGTATTAATTTATATGTATATATTCATCCATATTGAACAAAAAACAAAGACACTGAAGCAGGAGCTTCAGTGGAGAGGGGGAGAGGAAAGAGAGACGCTGAGGGCCACAAGAAGTCGGGTTTTATTGGGTGGGTGCTCCCTGACACTAGCCTGATGCATTTTCCCCTCCTCCTGCCCCCCAAGCAACTCAAAGGGAAGGGGTAAGTTTTTGTCCTTGAACTTCAGGAAATCCATGTGGGACCCTCCTCGTCAGTGACCCCAGTTAGTGTTGACAGGAAGGCTCAGGAGGTCTAAGTATTTGGCTACTCGCTTCGCTTTTATTTTGAGTTCCTTTCCTTCGAGACCAGTGGGGGTGTAGCTGGGGGCTTCGCTGTTCCTAGGTCTTGCACAGCCCGGGGGAGATCTGGGTAACCACCGAGCAGAGCAGAGTGCCTGGAGCAGGCCTGGCCTGGCCGGCGTGGAGGGGTGCTGTCTGGCTGGAGCTGGGAGCCAGAAGCCCTGGGGCGGCCAGCGTGTGGGGAGCAGAGTGGGCAGTCCGTGGGCTGTGCCCAGGCCGCTGCACAGATCCCTGACCTACTTCTAGGGCCCCTTTCTGTTCTCAGAGACGCTACAATTCCATAAATTAAGGAAATTAACTGATGGGGCCTGCGGCATCTTTGTAAGCTATTTAAATCTATAAATTTACAACATCTTCTGCATATATCAAGTAATTGAACTAACTGCAGGGATGTAACTTTAATGAGAAAATTTCCCCCTTCGCCTGTAGTTCCAGCTCTAAAATAAATAAATAAATAGATAGATAGATAGATAAATAAATAAATAAATAAAACCTTCCCTTAGGACGAAAGTTTCGGCGGGTTCCCGCGTAAAGAAGTTACAGGAGCGCGGCCCACACGCAAGATCCCCCAGTCCAGGGAGGCCTCCCCGCTCCATCCAAGCTGGCACCCGCGCCTGTCACCCCGCTCGGGGTCCCCCCCCCCGGGCACCCCCAGTGAGTGGGGCCGCTAGAGGGCGCCCAGCTCGGGCAGGGACTCGGGCGAGGGCACCGCGCCCGCCCGGCCGGATCCTGGCTCCGTCCCCCACGTCCCTGGCGCCGGACGGGGGCGCAGTGCAGGCCGGGCGCGCTGGAGGACCGCGCGCTGTTTCCTAGGAGCTGCGAAATGGTCGCGCAGGAGGGACGGGCGGGGCGCAGGGGGAAGGGGAGGAGGGAGGGCAGCAGCCAGGGGCAGCCCACTCGAGGCCCACGGAGGGGCGCCCCGGGCGCTGGTGGGGGCGCCGCGACGAGCCTCGGCCGCAGACGGGTCCCCCGCGCCGCGCGCAAACGTGCAGCAAATGGCGCGGCTGCCCCCCGGGCGCCCCCCGCGCTCCCCTCCCCCGCGGGGGCCGGCCGCGCGCCCGCAGACGGCGCTGCGCCCCGGAGAGGGGCCGCCGGGGCCGGGACCCGGGGAGCCAGGCCGGGGAGGGGGGGCGCGCGCCGGCCCCCGGCCCCCGGCTCCGCTCCAGCTCCGGCTCCGGCCGAGTCGCAGCCCAGTTTCTCCCCAAGTCCCGCCCCTGCCCCGGGGCGCCGCGGCGGCGGCTGCTCTCCTCTTTGTAACCGAGGAGTCAAGAAATGTGAGAAACGTGCCCTGTGTTACTTATTTGGGAGCCGAAAATTTATGCCCAGCTGAAAGCGCCCGGGGAAATATTACATCAGATGAAATGACAATGATTAAAATCAGCTTCGCCCCCGCCCCCTCCCGAGCCCGGAGGAGGCCCGGGCGCCGCGTGGCCGGCCGCGGGGGGCGGGGGGCTGGGCGGCGCGGGGCGCGGGGGCCGGGGCGCTCGGCTCCCGGGAGGGTCCTGGCGGCGGCCGGCGGGCGGCGCGGGGCCCGGGGCGGCGGGCGGGGATCGCCGGCCGGAGCCGCGGGGACGGCGCATTTCTGTCGCCGAGCGCGGCGGGCGCGGGCGCGCGGAGCTAATTGCGACTCTAATCCTCTGCCCCGCGGCGCCGCCGAGCCCCGAGCCAGGAGTCGCCGCGCGCGCCCGCTCGCGCCCGCCGCGCCGGGGAACCCGGAGCCGGATCGCCGCGCTCCGCGTGGGGCTCGGTCGCCGCGGGCCGCGCGCGGGCTGCCGGCCGGGGCGGGGGCCCGGGCTCCTCGCCGGCGCGGGCAAGGCCGCGGGAGAGGCGGGCGCGAGGAGGTGGGAGCGGCGGGAGGCGGCCGGCGCGCGGGCGAGGGGCGGCGGTGCTGCCGCGCGAGGGGAGGAGGCGCGGGAGGGCGGGGAGGGGAGGCCCCGGCGCGCCGCGCCGCGAGGGGCCGCGCGGAGCGGGGGCCGGGGCGGGAGGGGTGGGTGGGGGGAGGGTTGGGGGCGAGAGAGAAAGTAACTCCTGGACGAGACCGGAGCGACCCGCGCGGCGAGCGCAGGCGGCGAGGCTGAGCCGGCGCCCGAGACCCGCGGCTGCGCGCGGCGGGGGCTGCGGACGAGTCGGATCCGCCGCTCGGGCTCCGAGGTAAGCCCCGCGCGGGCGGCCCCCGCTCGGCGCCGCGCGCCCCTGTCCCCAAAGTGGCTGCGAGCCCCAGAAAGTGGCCGGCCGGGGCGCGGACCCGGGCGGGGGCGGCGGCTTTGTCCCGGTGCCGGGCGGCGGGGGCCGGCGGCGCGGGGGCGCCCAGCACAAAGGCCTGGCGCGGGCGGGGGGCTCGCCCACGTGGGTTGGCCCTGGCCCGGGGGGGACCCTCCCCACGCGGGCGGGCGCGGAGCTTCCTGCCGCGCGGGGCGGAGAGTGTGTGTGTGTGTGTGTGTGCGTGTGTGTGTGTTTGTGTGTCTCTGTGTGTGTGCGTGTGTGTGTGTGTGCGCGCGCGCGTGTGTGTGTGTCGGCGGGGGCTTGCAGGTCTGGGTGCTCGGGCCTCTCGGTGCAGGGCCCAGCGCCCTGCAGGGCCGGCGAGTTTCCGGGGTCCGTCCTGGGCTCGTGCCGCTGGGGCTTCGGGGTGCACAGGCCCGGCTTGGCGCCCAAATCTGGGCGAGAGAGAAAGTCTCTAACGGGACAGATGTTCGTCCTCTGGCGCCCACCCCACGAGTAGGACACGGGACGGGAGGGGCCGGCGCCCTGGTGGTCGTCCCAGGCGCGCGGGTTTGGGGCCCCCCAGCAGGCAGCGGGGAGACCGGATCGCCGCCCCCGATCCCTGTTGCCAACCGGCACTCGCGACCTGGACGCGCGCGCGGGGCGCACACCGGCAGACACCCGCCCGCCCGCCCGCCCTCGTCGCTGGAGAGCCTCTCGGCCCTCCCGCGCCCCCCACCCCCGATGCAGAAGGACAAGCTGCAAGTTTGCGCCCCGTGTTTCAGTGTGCATGAAGGAATTTAACTGCACGAGTGAATAACAGCATTAGTTTCAATTAATTTTTTTTTTTAAATCCCGGCAACAATAAACTTTGAGAACAAAAGCGCTTTTACGTCCTTAATTAGGCGAGCTTCCCATCTGTGGTCTCTAAGTGTCTGCCTCTGGATTTAACTTTGTCCTCCGCCCCGCCCCCGCCGCACACCCCTCCCCGCCCGGCTCCGCACTTCGGGCTCCCCGGACACCCCGCCCCGCGGCGCTGCGGGCCTCCTTGGCCCGCCGGCTCCGGTCGCCCCGAAGTTCTCTTCTCGGGCCGGCGGGCTCCGCGGCGGGGCCGGCGCGCTCCAGGTGGCCCGCCCGCCGCCCTCCGGGCCCCCCTCCTGGGCAATTCTGCAGGCCCCTGGCACCCTCGCCCGGGGCTGGCGCCCAGGGCGCGGAGCTGAAGGCAGCTCGCTAGGCGCCTTCTGTTTACCTTTTATGGTTAAAATAACAGCTTAGCAAAGAAGCGACTTCACGAAGAAGCGATTTAGTGAAATCGTCTCAAGCTGCCGCAGCTCAGCCAGTTTAATCACCCCCAGAGAGCTGAACAACTGCGAGCACAATGGGACACAAAATCATTTTGTGTGTAAATGAGCGTGGCATTCTGCTGGCTTCCCTCTGCTCGGGCGGGCGGGGCTCGGCTGCGGGCGGGCGCGGGACCTGGTCTCCCGCCGCAGCTCCGAGGAGCGGGTCCATACCCAGCCAGTTTGGAGAGCTGCGGGCCCTGGAGCGGGCTCCTGCCCGGGCTCCTGCAACAGGCGGCTCGGCCGAGCCTCGGGAGGGCGGTGGCCGCCGGGACTGGGTCGTGGGTTGATGCTGGTGTCGGTGGAATGAACTTGTGTCTCTTACTGCATCCATTTTTGTGCTTCTGACCTCAGGGGAGAGGGTCGTGTGTCACCGATGCGCTGGTCGGAGCGAGCACTGGAGGTTCGAGCGAAGGCGTAAAGCCTGGGGCTTCCAATGGTGAGTTTTGGGGTTTGCCTTGGTTGTGCTTTGCGGTGAGAGGGGACAGGGTGAGAAAAGGACCTCGCGGCTTCTGTGATGGGTACTTGGTGATAAATGCCACTTTTTAGTTCCATCCTGGGGGAGAAGACCTTGTGCATTTCCGAGCTGGTCGCTTTCCACTGGAGTTCCTCCAGCCCTGTGTGTACTCTGTGCCTTCCCTTCTGACTCCTCCTCCCCGGGCAGGGTAACCCATTCCTGAGATCTGTTTTGGTTTCTCAGATAAGTGACCTGGTTTTCTTTTTTTAAGTGCGTGGGAACTCAGGGAAAGCGAAGCAGCAAGACCCCAGGAGAGGATGAATTAGAAGTCGTTGTCTGCTGCTAGCAGCCCCCTCCCCAGCTTCCTGGCAGGGAGCTGGCCGGGACACGCAGGGCACAGCATATTCTAGGAGAGGAACCTTCAATTTGCAGGATTTGCTTCTCATTGGAACTTGGCCCATGGTTTGAAATTGGATGTTGAATTTCAAGCAGGAAGTCGGTCTTTAAGGGAGGTTGCTCCCTCAAGGAGAGCTACGTCCAGGTTAACTTCTGGAAGTCAGTTGGAGGCAGGAAGGGGAGGGGGGATTGTGATAGTCATTGTGCAAACCTCCCCCCACCTCCTGAGAGCCCCAAGTCAGTGGAAGGGGCTGCAGAAACCTGCTTTTCCCCCACCCACCGGTCCAGGGCCTGCAGAGTGCCCTGGGGGAGGCTTGGAGAGACTAAGGGGCAATGTAATTTCAGGTGGTGGTGGTGCAGTCCCCAAGCCTTGGAGGGGGGCAGGACAGAGTATCCATTTGCTGAGCTGCTGCCTGTTTCCTTCTGGCCAGCTCTCTAATGCCTTGGGGGACACGATCCTAAGGGATCTGGAATACATTAGGCACAGACAAGACTCTTCCAGGGGTCTGGGGAGAGACTGCAGAGGTGCGGGCTAGGCAAACAAAGACAAGTTTCCTCTATTACGAGCCAGGGAGAGTTGGCTTCCTAAGTGACTTTCCCGCTGCCTTGTGGCCCCGCTTCTGCTTCAAGGAGGCTTCTCTGTGTCTGGCCAGTTGCAAAGTGCATCCTAACACCTGGCGACGGTGTTATGAAATAGATCCTGGGCTCCCCGGCCCATGGAGGGTGGGGGGCCCTCCCCAGACTGTGGTCCACAAGGCCCTGCTGATGCAAGAGGAGACACGCTTGGTAACATGGCTCTCGACCAAAATACCAGGAAAATCAGATTTGTTCTGAAACATTTTGGGGCAATAATGGTGAGCATATGTTTCGGTGCTGTCATTAGCCGAATTAGCAGACATGGAGCGCCATGAAAATGCTCGCAAGTGTGTGCGAGTAATCTGCTCCAGCCCGAAGGCTTGCTTTGGGACGTGGAGACAGGAGAGTAGCAGGGGGGACCTGGGGAGGCTCGTGGCGTGGGGTCCCGCAGAGCATGTGCAGAAAGCATGACTTTGAGCGCCTCAGCTCCGTGGGAGACACGGCGCCCGGGACTCTGAGGAGTGAAGCCCTGTCTGGTCTGCTCTGTGCTTCCGCAGATACTCTGGGCAGCGATGGAAGCCTAGATGCCTCACCGCAAGGAGCGGCCGAGCGGGTCCTCGCTTCACGCCCAAGGCAGCACTGGCACCGTGGTGAGAGCCAGCAGGGTGGGCAGGGCAGCGCTGGCGGGCCCCCTCTCCGCTTCTCCCCCGCCGCCCTCCCGCACGGCCGCAGCGTTCAAGAGATGGCTGTTGACTGGCTGCACGATTATGTATTTTTTGAAACGAAAATGCTCTTAATTTGATGTGAAATTTACTCCATGTATAAAACTCAACGCCTTAGGTGCTGAGGAAGTCACTAATTTAGAGGTGTCTCGTTACTGAGACAAACTTGCAAAAACCCCTGAATCCCAATTCACAAATTGGTGATTCGTTTGTCAGGGGATATTTCACATCTAACACATAAGCCCGCGACCTTTAATTAGAATTTTGCAGTTTGTTTTATGCCCCTGGAGGCTGACACCTTGAAAATTTTTTTTTTCTTGATTTCTTATTGCTAATAAGCATCTTTCTTTTCCCCTCTGGTACTTTGAAGAAAATGATGCAAAAACACTTAATTACAGTGGTGGACATAATTTGTCAGCTGAATATGTGATCAGGCGCAGGCAGAAGTGATCTGATTAGATCTGTGATCACATTGGCAATAAAGGGAGTGCACCGCTCTGTCGTGGGGAAACTCTTGTCTCTGCCTTGTTTTCCGTCTCCAGGAGGGAGGAAGCATGTCCCGGTTGTCTCTCACCCGGTCGCCCGTGTCTCCCCTGGCTGCCCAGGGGATCCCACTGCCAGCCCAGCTCACCAAGTCCAATGCTCCCGTGCACATTGATGTGGGCGGCCACATGTACACCAGCAGCCTGGCCACACTCACCAAGTACCCCGACTCCAGGTAAGAGCGAGCCCCCCACCGGCACCAGGGTGTGGGCATCCTCTGCAGCCATCAGGGGACACTCAGGACTCTCCAGGGCCCACCCGCTCGTGCAGACCCAGGGAGCCAGGGTGCGGGAGGCCGAGTCTGCTGCTTTGCACAGGGACTTGGGGCCCTGAGCTGGTGGCACTGGTGGAACTAGAAGGAGCTCCTGGCCTGCTGGCGGAGGCCACTTCTTCAGAGCCAGCCCCATCCGAAATTCAGCAGCCGGCTGGGCATCTCACGTACCCTCGGGTTCCCTTCAGGCCTGGCCTGAGCAACTCTACTTCTTGGTGCTGCACTGGGGGGGATGTATTTAATCCCCTTTGCTAGCCTAACCCTGAGGAAAGTGTGTGAGGCAGGGAAGGAAAGAGCCTGCATTTTGCCATCTTTGGGTGAGTGGCCACTGTTAGACCCTGCAGGCTGCTTGGCAGTGACTGGCTAGGAAATCCTGCACGTTCAGTTCCGGGGGATGCAGGGAGGTGATAAGAACGAGCCCCGTCCGTGGATGAAGTGTCTCGGGGCCTCCCTGTAGGAGGCTGAGCTCCCTGGTGCTTCTGACTCTGGGCCTCTCTGTAGAAGGTGCTGGTCACTGCCCACTTTCCTGCTTTTGCCTCTCTAGGGTCAGACCTGGTTTCCCTGTTGCAGGGCTGACTGGGGATGGGGTGGTCTCTGAGCAGCCCCCCGGGATGATGTGGTGCACTGCTTGCTGAACTAGGGGCTACTGGCTCCTGGTACTTCTGGACGGCCACCGCTCCCTGGTGCCCGAAGGTTGAGCAGCAGGAGGGTCCAGACTGCTGGGCACTCCCCTATGTTATACATTTAAAATAATAAGAAGTTAATTAATTCCCCAGACACCGAGGGGTCAGGGGTGTCTCTGGGAAGCTTCCTTGTCAGGTTCCTCACTGCTGCTTGCTCACAGCGGCGAGGCGAAGATTCGTGGTGTAGGGAGGTAGCTGCTTTGGAACGTGTTGAGGGCCAGGTGGAGTCCTCCATGGGGGCAGGAGTGCTCCCCGAGAAGGGGGTGCTGGAGGTGAGCATATGTCCAGTCTGGAATCTCGGCTATAGATGGCGACCGGGACTTCAGTGCCCGGGGCACGGTGGCGTTGGGGAGGGCAGCCTCAGGCCGTGTCCGCAGCATGCACCTGAGCACTTGCGAAGTGGCCTGTCCAGGGCAGGAGATGGATTCTGCTTATTTCATTTCATGTCTGCCTGTGCGGCGCTCCTGAGTTGTCTGAGATGGATCATCCCTTAATCACTTGGTGACGTTTGTAAGGGAATTTCAGAAATCCTTACCCACCACGTCTCTGAAGAGCGTTCCTAAAATCAGACACTGGCCCTTCTGGAGTGATCGCAGCCCAGCCCTGCTGACAGAAGAGCGGGGCTGCCTGGTTCTTGTCCCAAGCTGGTGCTACGAGGGCTGGGGGTGGTCCCCACCCACACCCACATCTCCTCCCAGATCCTCACCAAGGTTCTGGCAGCTGGGGGTGCTGGGGGAGCTTGGGAGTCCCACCTTCTTGCCTGTGGGACCCTCTGCTGCAGGATCTGCCCAGAGGGGGCAGCTGTCTGCATTCTTTCCTGGGGCTGGGGCTTTAGCGGAATCTTGTTCTCCCTGGGTGGCTTCTGGCTCCCCAGCCCTGAAGCTTTAGCCTAGAGGTGGGGAGTGGGGTGAACTGTAGAACTGTTGGGGACAGTGGGTCAGGCTGGACTTGGGAAGCGGGTGGGGCAGCTGTGCTGCCCAAGGAGTTCCTCTCCCCCATTTTCTTCATCCCTCTGAGTGATTTATAAAATTAAAAAGTTATTTTCTCCAATCCCTCACCTTGTGTTGGTGATGTATGAGTCACCTGAAGTTGGAGAATTAAGGGTGCTTAGGTCACCCCAGGATTTGGGATATTAGCATAGTTCTACCCCAGACCCCTGGGTCCCTGTGTCTACCAGCCATGCCTGGGCTTCTGGGTTCTTGGCTCCCACACAAGGGGAGTTTGGGACAGCCACAAGGAGCAGCTTTTGGTCCTTGTCAGGAGCCCAGTGGGCACAGCCAGGCCCTGGGCGTGTACCCTGTGGGCCGCCACCTCACTCCTTCCTGCCTGCTGGACAGCCTGTAGCTGCTGCCACCACAGCCGCACACTTGGGTCCATGCTGGCCTTGGGCAGCGGCAAATTAAGATGGCCAGGAGCTTCAGAATAAATAGGACCTCCTACTGAAACAGCCGGGAAATTGGAGCCAAAGGCTAAAGAAAGAGAAAATAAAAAAGAAGACCCTCCAGTATCAGCTGGGATCAGCACTGGCGGGCTTATTCCAAAGAGGACTTTTGAAATTGGCATGCCAGACCCTGCAGCGGCCCTCACAGCGCAGCCTGGGGCAGAAGCCAAGCCCAGACCCTGTAAGTGACCGCAGGTTCCTTTGTGGCAGTTGTCCAAGCTCCTTCCTTCAACCTGCTCACCTTAGCCCCCAAGGGCATGCAAGGTCTTCGTCAGTGTCACTGAACCACTGAAGGTCTACACCAGCCAGCCAGTCCCGGAAATGGTGGATTGAGAACCTTCTAGCCTGGGACCAATAAGACAACTTAGAAACCAGCACCCTGGAATGTGGGTGGGTCAGGAGTCTTCTGGACCAACAGGAGGGTCTGGAGCCCCAGCCAGCCCTGACATAAGAGGGGTCTGCGACTCGGCCAGGCCAGGCCAGAGAGGCTGAAGCTCTAGCCTTGCTGCAGGTGCCACGTGGGAGCCCTCTGCTCTGGCTGATGACTGTCCATGGCTCCGGGCAGCTTTGCTCTGTCCCATTGTCCCCGAGGATGCTGGCTGGCCCCCGCACTGACGTCTGAATGCCCAAGCTCTGCTGAGGCCAGGTCTCAGGGACTTGGAAGGCTGGAACAGTCCATGGAGCTCACAGAGCTTCCTGCAGGGCCTGGGTTCCCTCAGGCACAATTGCCAGGCCTGGGGAGGTGATCAGACTCCGTGGCCTCTGGGGCCCTGTGATAAGTTGTAGCTGGGTGTCTGCAGTACTGGATCCACAGGCTCTGGCCTCTCCACACCTCGCCACAAGCCACAGGACAGCTTGCCCTTTGACAGCCCCATTGGGACAGGCTGGGCCCTGTCCCAGCGTGAGAACAGGTGACTTCGTGGCTATTCCACACCTAGGCAGACTCATGGCGGATGGTTTGTGTGTTCAGCCATTAGAGTGGATGTAGGTGGGAGATCCTGACAGATCCTAAGATCGGCCCTTAGCTGCTGCCCAGCTTGTGTGTGCTGGGCACAATGGCAGGGCAGGGCAGGGCCTCAGGAGGTGACTTGGCATGGACATCAGTCTGGGCAGCTAGGGGTGAAGGGAGCACCCCTGGAAGGTCCTTCCCACGGCAGGCAGAGCATGGCGGCTTAGACATTGACTCAGCAGGCTGGGCTGAAGGTCGGGTCTCAGACTGGGCCATGCTTCTCCCTGGCTGTGCAGCCAGGATCTAGCAGGGCATGTGCATGTGCACCCACTGAAGGACCTCTGGAGAGACCCATCAAACTGCCTTCTGTTCCCAAACCAAGCTCAGGGCTGTCCTCACTCCTCTTTGGGACTCCTGACTTGATGGACCTGGGTTCTGCAGGGGATGTCAGGCAACCAGAGCCTGTAGCCCTGGGTCATGGGGCAGGGGCAGCCGTGGCTCAGGCCTGGTTCCTCCCCAAGTGCATGAGGATGGGCTCAGGGGTTTCCCACAGGTCCCTTTAGGGGACAGGATGCTGGGACCTGTCCCCCTCCTTGTGTGCACATACTGTGGCATGTGTGCACATGAGTGTGTGCTGCATGCAAACTGTTGAGCGTTAGTGTGCTGTGGCACACACACCATCCCTCCCGCCTGCCTCTGCTCCCCTGGGGCTCCCTGAGTGGGTAGCTGCGGGCAATGGGGGAGCTTCCTGGGGGTCCGTGGCCATGTGCCTGGTCAGCTGGCGTTGGCTGCTGTCCTTTGCCTGGCTTCTTCGGGGTCAGCCTGTGGTGTGTATTCCCAGGGCGGGGATCGTGGGCCCCCATGCTTGTTGCCAGAGTGTGTGGAGTCCGGTGCTCGCTTGTGGGGGTTGGACGAGGAGCATGTGTGTGGCCCAGGCCTGCTGTGGCTAGTTTGCACGGCTCGTGGGGTGTGCGACTGTAGCCTGGGGGGTCTGATGGTCAGCAGGAGTCTCCTGGGTGGCTCTGTCTGGCGGGGCTTGCGTGCGTGGGGCAAGGCAGCTGTGTCTGTGTCTCACTGTAGTTTTCCAGGCCTGTTGACATGTGTCAGCGGGCAGGCGGGTGTGTACGGCTGGGTGTGTCTCTCCGGCTGTGGCTTGCCAGTGTAGGTGGGGTGTGTGGCCTGCGCCGGTGGCTGCACTGGGTGTCCTCTCCCACTGTGGCCTGGCAGCCCCCGGTGCGTGCAAGCATGGGGCCTGGCCGGGTCCCAGAGTCACCCACACCTCTCCCCTCCCCACTGCAGCAGGGCGTGCCCCAAAGTGTGGGGGCGGGGCAGGTGGACTGGGCTGTCCATCAACATCCCTCCCCCAACTCTCGCCTAGAATCAGCCGCCTCTTCAATGGCACTGAGCCCATCGTCCTGGACAGTTTGAAGCAACATTATTTCATCGACCGGGATGGGGAGATTTTCCGCTACGTCCTGAGCTTCCTGCGGACGTCGAAACTGCTGCTCCCAGATGACTTCAAGGTAAGTCCGCAGCCGGCAGCTCCCCAGCGCTGCCTGCGCGGTGGCATTACACAGGGGACGTTGTGACTTAATAAATGGACCCGCGGTCGTCATGGCAACCATAAAAAGTTAAACGATGAAGCCGAGGGCTAAATCAGTTTTTCTAAACTAATTTTGTTTTCTCACATTTTTAGCTTATTTATCAGGGTGTAACAACAATTAAGCGGCGGCGGTGGCACTTACCCTGGTTTAATGTTTGTCGTGGTGAAGGCGGATGTGTGCCCGAGTTCCAGGAGTTAGCGCCTCCTAAATCTGTGCCTTGTTGGCGGTTTGCAGGCAGAAAACCCTGATCCAAAGCAAACGCCTTTTAAGAAAAAACTGCCCCCCGGGTCTCAGGGTGGGTCTTCCAGGCCGCCCCCCAGTTCCAGGTGGCCTGCCTCAGCGCTGTGCTCCTCCGGGGTGCCGGGGAGGGGATGCAGGCTGGGCTGCCCCGCGAATAGCCATCCCTCCTCCCACCCCCTGGAGGCCCAGGAGCCTGGGGGTGTTTTGTCCTTTGGTTGAGGACCAACAACCAAACTCGGACTGAGCATGCGCTGACACATAGCACACGCCATCTGTCCCCCAACACTTACAGGCTAGTGGGGAGACGGCTGGGGGAAGCAGTTATTCCATGGTGGTAATGCTTCAGAGAAGTAGGGTCTCGTGAGGGTGAACCCCGGGAGGCCTGGCCCGGAGTGGGGTTCTGTGGAGAGTCCACTGCTCACGGTGAAGGAGGACCCGGAACAGACAGGGGCTGGGGGCTTGGGGAGGGGCGGGGAGCTTCATGCATTCCAGAGCTGGAGAGAAGGTGTCTCGCCTGGGGCTTCTGAGTTGGGCTGTGGTGGCTGCTGGTTGATGGCAGGACCTTGGTGGCAGCGCAGCACGGGGCATCTTACCCCAAGTGTGGTGGAAGGGCTGTGAGCAGGTGAATGATGATCAGGGTTGCCACACTGGAGCGGGGGTGGGAGCAGGAGACCAAGCAGGTCCCTGGCAGCTTTGGACTAGGCTGGAGGCCCCTAGATGGAGCAAAGCTACAGTATAGACTCATGTTTAAGAAAAGATCAGAAAAGGGACATGGGTTGGTGAGGTGAGGGGTTCTCGAGGATGCCTCCCAGCGTGTGACTTGAGGGTGCATGGAGGTTCAGGCTGGGGGCATATGGGTGCACCCCTGCATGAATAGCTGGTGGGTGTTAGATAAAGGCTCTGGACTATGGGGGACCATGTGGGGGTGGGGGTTTGGTGTGCAGGTAGCATTGAAAAACTCAAGAGTGGATGAGAGTGAGGCCCAGGGTGGAGCCAAAAGGGACAGGAGGGGTCCCAGACTAAGGACCAGTAAGGGTTGCGGCCTGTTAGAACTGGGGTTTCCCTCGGCATAGTTCCAAATGCCAGGGTTGGCAGGTGGAAGGGATTAAGGCCCTGCTTTGGGGGATGGGCATCTTTGCCTTTCCCCTGGGGGTCCTCAGGCTCACCAGCTGGGCTTGAGCTGAGCCCCAAGGAGTGACAGAGTCCTGGGGTCTCTGCTGCCCCAGGCTGAAGTGTGTGTGAGGCACAGCGGTGTGAGCCCACCCTGCGCCGCGTGGGCTGCTCGCGAGAGGTGGGCTTCCCGCCCCAGCACCTCTCAACTCCTGCCATTTTATATGTGAGGAAACTGAGACACAGAAAAGGTCAATAACTGACACTCAGAGGTCTCAGGGCTGGTAAAGGAAGATGCCAGAATCCACCCTGACAGGTCTGTTTTGCCTCCAGGCAAGGGCACAGCCTCTGGCTCCTCTGGTGTGACCTGCAGGTCTTTCCAGAGGCTTCTCTCTGCCCCAGGGGGCGGAAGTCGCCCCCAGTGCTTGGGGCCAGGGGGAAGGCCTTAGGGGATCTGGCCCAGGTGCACACCTGGGCTAAGGCTCGCCTCCTGCTGCTTGCACCCATTCCCCTGCGCTCCCTGCCCCCACCTGTGTGGTGGTCACAGTCACCCAGGTCCACACTGCGGGTGGGGGGGTGGCACTTCCCAGCCTGGTCGGAGGAGAGCCCCCTGCAGCTGGACAGGGCCGGCCCCCAGCGCCCCCACCCCATGCGTGTGCCCGCAGGACTTCAGCCTGCTGTATGAGGAGGCGCGCTACTACCAGCTGCAGCCCATGGTGCGCGAGCTGGAGCGCTGGCAGCAGGAGCAGGAGCAGCGGCGCCGCAGCCGGGCCTGCGACTGCCTGGTAGTGCGGGTCACGCCAGACCTGGGCGAGCGGATCGCACTCAGCGGGGAGAAGGCCCTCATCGAGGAGGTCTTCCCAGAGACCGGCGACGTCATGTGCAACTCTGTCAACGCCGGCTGGAACCAGGACCCCACGCATGTCATCCGCTTCCCGCTCAACGGCTACTGCAGGCTCAACTCCGTGCAGGTGAGGGCTGCACCGCCCCTGCCACGTTGCACCCGCCCCTCTCACCCCCACCCCCACCCCCAAGCCCGCTGGCAGCCCAGTGAGCTGGAGGGAGGCGAGGTCCTGCTATGGCGAGGCCCTCCCGTGCCATCCTACAGAAAAGGCAACAATGTGTCGATGCATAATTTATGTCTCGCTCATAATTAAATGATGGCGCCTGGGGGATGGACTTAAAAAAATTGATCTATGCTTTTTTTTTTTTTTCCAAAAGGATGTTTTATAAAAATGGCCCAGAGTATTTTCAACAAAGTGTGCTTCATTTGACACCCAGAGTCTGACTTTGGATTCAAATTAAACCCAGGCAATAGGAGAGGCAGGTCAGACACAGGGAGTGGAGGTTGCCTGGAGCCCCCATTCTTGCCCTGCTGACCTGGGCCAGCAGCACCCAAACAGCTGCCCAGAATCTTTCTGGACCAGCTTTCCCCAGGAGGGGCTAAAGTTGGGTAGCCCAAGATGGAGCAGGGGCCTGTTTGCCAGCAGCTCTTGCAAAGCTGTGGCCTACAGAGCAGACTCCTATTTCAGGTTTAGGACAGGGTGGATTTGTGGAGGCCATCCCCCCACCCCCACAGTCTGCAAGCTGTCAGTCACAACTTGCTAGTCGCAGGACACAGGTGTCAGATGCACCGACTCCTCCCTCACAGGGGCACAGACCCACGTGGGCACGGAGGCCTGCTGAGACTCTGCGGGCAAACTCCTCCTCCTCCCCCATCTCCCTGGAGCTGATGGGCCCCCAGGCCTCAAACCATCTGGGACTCACTGCTCAGGGAAGCAGGTGGCTGCCCGGAGGCAGGGTCTCTCTGTAATTGGGGCAGGCCTCAGTGAGGGAGGGGGACTGGGACCACTTGTCTGGACTGAGAGGGGCAGGTTAGGCCCTGGAAAAAAGGGAAGGGCCCCCAGGCTCTTTCCGCCTTTCTGAACCAAGACTTTAGACCCCAGAGGGCAGCAGGATGGGGCTGTCTATTCAGGTCTGGTCAGTCTGTAGGCCCCGGGCCTGTCCACTCCTGTCCCTGCTCTGGTTGTTAAGTGGAGTTCTGCAGAGACCTTTGTCAGCGAGTGAGGTTGTGCTGAAAAAGGAGGTCCCTAAGGCTGCCTGGCTGCCCTCCCTAGCACCCCCTGCTCACCTGCTGGGCCAATCCAGACAGACTCTTGCAGCTGACCCCCGTTTCTTCCCCGCAGGTCCTGGAGAGGCTATTCCAGAGGGGTTTCACTGTGGCCGCATCCTGTGGGGGTGGCGTGGACTCCTCCCAGTTCAGCGAGTACGTGCTCTGCCGGGAAGAGCGGCGGCCACAGCCCACGCCCACCGCCGTCCGGATAAAGCAGGAGCCCCTGGACTAGGCCCTGCCTCAGTGCCCGCCTGAGGCCCCCCCGGCCTTGGGAACACCCCAGGGACCTGAAAGCAGTATTGGGGAGTTCTGCCTGTGCCTGCTTACTGGTGGGCATGACACTGAGGGTGGGACTGGAGGGTCCAAAGCAGGCCTCGGGGGCCCCAGGGCCCCGGGCGTCGTGGCCACAGAATGTGGGCTGCTGGAGGCAGACCCGCCAAAGGATTGTTGATGTGACTCAAAGATGCCGCCGTTGTCGCCACCGCCGGTTCTCCAGCGCCCTGGGCTCCCCTGGCTCCCCAGCCCTTCACAGGGTCCTCTGAGGCTCCGGGACCTACCAAGGCAGGTCATCAGGGCCCCCTGGCTTGCTCCAGAGGACCCTTCCACCCTTCTCCGTGCGTGCCAGACGTCCCTGGGTCTCCCTGCATCAGAGGTGGCTTATTTTTCTACAGTATTTAAGACCGAAGTAACTATAACTGCACAAGTCAGAGAGGCCGACAAGGACCGACACGTCTCTATCTGGTGCTCAGTTCTCAGCCGGACTCGCAGCCCGCCCACGCGGGGAAGAGCTGTGGGCTCTCGCCCCGGTGCCTGCACAGTGCGCCTCAGAGCTTTCTGGGCCCTGCTCTAGGGACAGCGCCTTGGTGGCAGTGCCATGGGGGCTGAGGCCGGCCCCGGGGTGGGGCTGTGAGGAGGAGGCGGTGCTGGCATGGGGGTGGTGGCTCTGGAACCATCTGATACCATCTGATACCCTCACCTTCGCTGCTGCCCAGGGCTCAGACCATGCTGGGCAGGTCACCTGACCTCACCCTTGGGCTTCCAGTCCTGGCTGTGTGCACCCATACCTGGGCTCCAGGAGAAGTCTCTGCCCATCTGGACCAGCCACGGGGCCACACTGAATCCTTACCTCAGGAATGGGCCCCACAGTGAGGGCCCATCTGTCACAGCATCCTTCGGGTCCCCAGCTCAGGAAGCCGTCCCCAGCTCTGATTTCCCACACTAATATGCACACTGAATTTTAATGAACTGTTGTTACCCCCCTTTGGTAAGACCCAACACAGGTATACCTAGGGCTCCTCACCCCAATTCCAGTAAGGACTGGCCCCAGGGGTCCTCACAGACCTGCCGTCCCAGATGACAGGCCCAAAAGTGACCATCCTGGCTTTGTCACACTTCGCTCTTCCTGGGTGGAAAAACCACTGAGAACTGCTCAGTGGGTGGGGCGCCCTGGTGGCACCCCCAGTGCACAACGCCTGTAGACTTGTGTACAACTCCTTTAACATTGTAAAGATGCTGATGTACAATTGTTGTGTGTTTGTGTAAACACATCACGTTCCTAGTTCATGCCATAAATGATGCCGTAAAGCAAAGACTGAGGCTCCGTCCTGTGTAGAAGCGACAGCTGGATTCCCGCCTTTGATCTTGTGCAGGGGATTCTTGGGGGTGGGGTGCCCCACTCAGTTCTAATCAAAGAAGCAGTTGCATTGGCTGGGAGAGGGGCAGGGGCCTGAACTTGCTATTTATTGCCCTGGGATGTGTCCTTTTCACCCGCTTGTCCCCTCGGGCCACGTGATGTGGATTCTGGTTCACAGTCCCTGGCCAGATGCGAAGTGGGGATAGGCAGACAGGTGTCCGAGGACTTTTGAACCTGGTCTTAAATGTTTGAGATGCTCTCTCTGAGTCTTGTTCGGCATGCACATCCTCTTTAGAGCCCCACAGTGTGGTAGGAGAAGGTCCAAGCTCAGGCCAGCCAGGGGGACATGCAGCCCCCAAAATGATCACCATGTGAGGAACGAGGCAGCGTGGCTCCCCAAGGGCAGGAGTTTGAACCTACTCACAGAGGCCTCCAGATTTAATGAGTCCTTCTGTGTTTTTTCTCAAAGCCCTTACATTCTAACCCATGCGGACCTTTCCACAGGCCCGGCCGGGGCCACTAGCCCCGACCTGCCCGAGGCCGGGAGCACACGCCAGCTGCGCCCTGTCTGAGGCCGCAGAGCAGATGCCATCCAGCGTACGATCTAATTTGCTGGGCAGACTTGCTGGCCTTCTCCTGTGCTTAGCAACGCGCCTGCAGTTGGCACATCTGCATTTTGGCATCTGAAGTTCACATGTGAGAGGAGAGAAAGTGTTGTGTTTCTTAGAAAGGAAGTCTTGTGAAAACAGCTCCACGCGGTGTGTTTATGGAGTTTCCCGGTATGAAGCCGGCGTGGGGTCTGATGGATGGAGACTCCTTGGCATTTCCAGGCAAAGTCCTTTTGATGAAACCATCACGCTGGGGGGAGGGAAGGGAGTAACTTCCGTTGTGATTGTTACTCTTTATTTATTAAATAAATCAGGAAGTATGGTTTTGCATAAACTGGGGGGATTTCTAAATTTATAGAGAAATACTATCCTCCCATAGAATAATTCGCATCTGCCCAGTCTCCATCAACCACAAGTACAAATTATCAAGTCCTTGAAAACATTTTTCTATTTCCTGCAATGAGTGTATTTTAAGTACCCTTCTGGTCAGATACCATCAGTATCGTTTCTTCTGCGCTTCAGAAACCTCCAAACTAAGTATTTTTGGTTATAAGCAACTGGATAGAGAGCCCCCTGCTCCCCCACTCCCCTCAAGCCTGTGCCAGTGTGGGGAGAGCTGGCCAAGGCATAGCAGATGGCTCCCGCCACTGGCACATGTGGGCTCGAAGCCAGGTGACACGAACACCTTTTAAAAAGTGTTTTGTTTTTTTTTTAATTACCACTTGATTGTGTTCCTTAGACTAAATAAAGGATATTTTATAAATTACACACCCAGCTCTATTGCCTGGTTTCTAATCCACCGAGGCAGCTACAAAAAGGCACCCTGGCTGGGATGATTCTAGAGTTGTGACTTCTCACACGTGGGACTTGGTTGTGCTACTGAGTAGACCTTGAACAGCCCAAGTCCCTAAAAGCCAACCTTCCCCTGGTGAGGCTTCGCCTGGAGGGCTGGGCCCTAAGCCACTGTGGGGTCCCTGGGCGTCTAGCGAGTATACTTCACCTCCCCCAAACTCCCACTCTGGATTCAGTCTTCCTGGGCTGTGGGCCTTTTGCACTGTATTGATTTGGCGTGTGTGTAAGTGTGACCCAAACACTAATGCATTTGAAAAAGGGCCAGAGAAGCACAGAGGTGAGGAAGGAGGAACTATCTGTGTCGAGCCCCCGGCTGATGAGCACCGGGTTGAGAGGTTACTCCCTTTCCTGTCCAGGAGGCAGACCCGCATGCCAACATGCCCCCATCCCATGGGATCATGACCTACCTGATGGAACAGGTAGGTAAAAGTGAGAGGAGCCAGAGGATTTTCAGGTAAAGGCAGGATGCTTGGTTCAAATCAGAAGCTCTAGACAGTGGGGGGATGGTGCGGGGTCACCTGCTGGCCTTGAACTTGACACCTGGGCTCATTCAGGGTGCTGTAGAGCTTTGATGTTGTGGTTTGAGAGCTGTAACTTCAGATGATCTTATGGCAAGTGAGCAAGTGCATTCAGCTGCAGAACTCAGGATAGCACATAATGCTGGTCTCGGGGTGAGGAGGTGCCTGGCACTCCACTCACCCACCCACCCCCCACCAAAAGGGGGTGGTTCCATGTAGAGAGAGGCCCCTGTCTGAAGATCAAGGCCCATGGGGTAGCCCTGTGTGGACCAAGAAAAAGAAGTTATTGATGGCAGCTAAAGCAGCCTGCTGCCAGGAGCAAAACCAGTGCTGGCCTGCTACATTCTAGAACATCCACCATGTCCCAGATGTAGCACAACCCCAGTGAGGTCTGAGGGTCAGAAAAGAAGGGCTGACTTGGGCTCCCCCGGCCTCGAGCCATCATGCCTCTGTTAGTGCAGGGGCATTTTTCTGTGAGTTTTCAGTGAAAAAGTGAGCCCAGCCCCTGGGCAGTACCCCATGCTCCCCTCCCACCTGCCCCCACCCCCCAGCTCAGTCCCTCACTCCTGGCTGATGTTCTTCTGGACACTAAAATAGCAGCTTTCTCTGTCCCAAGCCCCAGAGCTGGACAAACAAGGTGCCTGCCTGACCCATGGGGAGCTCTCCAAACCTCAGTCCCAGGCCTAGGGGAGCTCAGTCCTGGGGACATGTGTCCAGGCAATGCTGTCTCGTTCACAGAGGAGGAGCCCCACCCTCCCATGGTGAGTTGAAGAGCATCTTGAACAGAATTTATGCTATTTTATGGCCATAACTTTGGTTTTTTTTTTTATAGAGGCATGTTTTTATTTATTTATTTATTTATTTATTTATTTGTTTGCTTGTTTATACATGCACTGGGTACAGTCAGAAGCGCGGGAGGGTGAGAGAATTCACCATTGCCAGAGCGGGGAGCAGAGCAGGCAGAAGGACCGAAGTACACTGCTGAGGGGAGCAGCGGGTGGCAGGAGAGGTCTGCGCACCATGTGGGACCCTCCTCCGGTGGCCGGGGAGCAGCCAGGGATCGAACCGGCGCCGCAGAGGCCGCGGGCAGCTTTACAACCCAGCGCTCAACCGCTGCGCCACCGTGGAGATGGCCATAACTTTGACTGGAAGGGTGTGCTCATGTTACTGCCAGGCTTTGGACAGTGGTTCACAAAAAGGTCCTGCCTACTGCAAAGGTCTTACCTTCCCAGCCACCCCTGGGCGCCACTGATGGACGGCCAGCCTCTGCAGGTGCTGGGAAGACACAGCAGGCCAGAGGCTAAGAAGACATTTGTCTCTCCCCAGAATCATTTACTTGAGTCTCTACAGATTTCTAGAAGAGAAGCCATATTACAGGTTTCAAGTTTCAAGCCATATTATAGGTTTCAAGGACATCAAACAGAGATGACCCCCCAAACTCCCTGACCAACTGGTAGAGTCAATGTCTCAGCCTCAACCCGGGCATCTCCAGAGCAAACCAAGCTTTGAAATTCTAGGAGACCCAGGGAGAGAAGAGGTAAGGCTCAAAAGGGAGGGCCCGAGTTTGGCTGCAACTGGATTTTTGGCTTTATTTCCGCCTGGCAGAACAGTCAGTCCTCCAGCTGTCTCTCAGGCTGCAGGAGCTTGCGCCTCCTTGACCCAGAGCTCCCCCCTCAGAATGACAGCTGGGTTCAGCCTGGAGCCCACTCGGTGGACACCCCACAGAACTCACAAACCAGGACAAAGTTTAAAGAGCAGGGGCCGAACCTGGGAGGGGATTCCCTGCCCTGCCCCCCAAAAGCACACAGGTCCCCACATCCATGGCCAGATAGACGCAGGCAACCTGGCCAGGGCTGAGGCTGCTCTGGGCCAAGACTGTCGTTCAGAGTCCTTGTCTAGGATGTCACCAGAGCGTCCTCCTGTGTCCTGGACCGGGGCCAGGGCTCCCGAGGAAGCTGCGGTTTGGGGTGAACAGTCTGCCCCAGCAGGGCCGGGCAGCTGCTCCCACTCCGGACGCGGGCCACGCCCTCTTGGACGCGCACACACCCCCGTTTCCCTGGCCCACGGAGACACGCCTCGCCCTGCAGCCTAACAGCAGGAAGGCGGATTTGTACGAGTATCTACAAGGTTCTGGAATTCTCGCCCGGTTGCCACACAGTGTACGGAGCATAATTGGGGGAGGTTGCGCAACTGCCAGCGAAGCTGGGGCGTGCTGCGAGGGCTCTCCAGGTTCTCATCACAGCGTCCGGGAGCCTTGGGACAGAGCCAGACGCCAACATTGCCACCTTAGGGTGGCACTCATGGCCCGGTTCCAGCGGGGGAGCAGGGCACTGCCGAAAGTTGGGGAACTCGGGTCCCTGCTGGCCTAATGGGAGTGAGGCTGGGCGGAAGGGACCACGCCTGCAATCCCCACCCCCTGAAACAGCAGCCTCGCCTGGCAGTGCCGCCCCCAGGCCCCCAGGCTGGACGCACACCAGGTCCCGAGGGAAGGGAGGAGGTTGGGCACGGGAGACCCCACCCAGCTAAGACCGAGACTGCCAGCCCCTCCTCCCCTCTGGAGCCTGTGCCTGGGCCGCTGGTGCATTCTCAGTCTCACGGTGCCCCCATGGGTGGATCCACCCCTGAGGCCCAGTGAGTCACTTCCCCAGGCCCTGGAGGCCTTGGTTGAAGGTGCCTCCCTCTCTGGCAAAGCCTCCTTTGTTCTAGTGCTGTCTTCACTTGACAACCCTTTCCTCCCCTCTGAGTTGCAGACTCAGGTCCTGTGGGTTTGGGGGCACCAACTGCGAGCAGCACTGAGGCAGGCAAACGGATGGCCCCTGGGAAGTATCTTCGGGAGGTGGTGCTTGAGTTCTTGCTTCCTCTGTCTTTTGCCCTCTCCTGGCGCAGTCTCTCTGGGGAAGCCCCCGCTTCCTGCACAGGCAGTGGGTGTACAGCTTCAGGAGCGCAGATTTGGGGGGCTCCCTGGCGGGCACCCCCTGCAGCTGCTGGGCTGCCCCTGACTCCTCTCTGGTTCCGTGGTTCAGATGATCACGCACTGTCGCTTTCTAGGTTCTGTCACCCCTCGGCCTCCCCCAGTGTCCAGGCCCTGGTGCAGGAACCCACCCAGGAAATTCATCTATGCACCCTCAGACACAGCCTCGAATCCCCTCTTCCCCCCTCCCTACCTCCCTCCTCCAGCTGGCTGGGGGGTGGGCATCAGGGGTACTGGCTGTCCTGGGCAGTGCCTCTGCTTGCGGAGATGATAGTCACAGCCCAAGCAATGTTGAGGTGCCATGGACACCGGCCCCACAGCCAGCAGCAGCTCCTACTTTGAAGAAGCAGAAAAGCACTTTCCCAAAAAGTTGTGTGCTCGGAGAGGCTCCAGTTTTATTTACAAACATCAAAGAGAAATTGGGGGGAAATACTCCCCCCTCCCCAGTGTCTTCAAAGCAGAGAGAAGAGCAGCAGCATCTGATGACACGTGTCTGTCCTTCCGCAAACACTCATTGGCGACAATCTGCCATGCCCTCGGAGGCCCTGTGGTCTAGCACAGGGTTACTGGGAGAAGCCAGGTTCTGGGCCATGTGCATTTCATGCACCAGCTCACCGAATCCTTCAACCTCATCCACGATGAAGGAGCCAACAGTGTCATCTGCAGAGAGAAGCAAAGGTGCCAGCCGCTCAGCTGACTTAAGAGCGTGAGAAGAGCAGGACCAACTGGCTCCCAAGCCGGTGCTCCTGCCACCACAGTCAAAAGCTAGTGTCCCAGTGCCCGATCGCTGCTGTAACGCCTGACCCAAACGCAGTGGCATAAAATGACCCAGAGTTATCACTGCATTGTTCTAAACAGCGGACCTCTGAGGTGGTTCTCACTGGAATACAATCAAGGCATCAACAGAGCAACATTCCCTTCCGGTGATTCTCAGAGAGAATCTGTTTCCTTGCCTTTTCCAGCTCCTAGAGGCTGCCACATTCTTCGACCTGTGCCTGCTTCCTCCATCTTCAAAGCAGCATCTTTAAATCTCTCTGACTCTTACTCTTCTAGACTCATGATTACACGGGCCCACCCAGATAATCTAGGATAATTGCCCTATTTTAAGGTCAACTGATTAGCCACCTTAATTCCCCTTTGCCAGATAACCTGACATATTCAGATTTCTAGGTTGAGGCTGTAGATATATTTGGGGGTATTCTTGTGCCTGCTCCAGCTGGGGAGCAACTTAGTCCACTCAAAAAAATATTTACTATGGCAGGCACAAGTTTAGGTGCTGCTGGGGCTACAGCAATGAGTGAAGAAGACAAAGACTCTTGCAGCATTTAAGCTTCAGTGGCGGGAGATAGACAATAAGCAAAATGTGCCATAGGTTAGATCACATGGAGTGCAAGGGGTGAAAGAAAGCAGGAAAGGGGCGAGTCATTGTGTGTGTGTTGCTATTTTGGTCAATGTGCTGGACAGCTTCCATTTGCCCCTCGCTCCTGCCCTGTGCCTGGGGCTGACATCCGGCTCCTCCCTGCTGGGCATAACTGGTGGAAGACAGTGAAGGGCAGAAGGCAGG